TGTATTAGTTGCAGTATAATGTCAGGGTATAGTTAATAAAATAAACATATTTAAGACTACTGTTAACCTCACACACAGCCACCTACTTACATGAAAGGAAACAAATTAAAGTGAATATCCAGGATAAATCTTTACTTTTAGTCATAATTTGATCGCACCATTAACACACATCTGATGTTATAGTAAAGCTCAACAGATCTCCAATGTTACCTTAATGTTACCAATCAGCTTAAACATACCAACACATCAGACTGCTCCATTATCAAACCCATTTTAAGTATTGTGATTAGTGGGTTATCGCTTTATGACAGGAAAAGTAAAGACATGGCAGCGTGTGATAAAAGACGGCTTCACTTTGATGAGAACAAGAACAGACTGTTCCTGGGAACATCGTTGCATGTTTACTTTCACAACAGACCAGTCTGTCAACTATCGTAAACCACAATAAACCAAACCTGATCCAGATGGCCGTTTATTAGTTGTGTGTTCGGAACAGATTTCCAAGTTCTGATGGCCATGAAACTTGCTCAGAAATTAAGCAATTTAAATTCATATTAGAAAACGGCCCTCAAGGAACAGAAGTGAGAAAATGTAATGGAGCAGGGAGGGTTCATATCAAACCACAAGACGTTCTTCCCTCCTTGAGGCATCAACAATCATGAAAACTTGATGGAAATTAAAAAAAGCTGTATCTGACCTGTTCAGCCACTTGTTGGCGGTGTCCAGCGGGGCCGGCAGGCTGCTGCGCTGCCAGGTGTGGTGCCACAGAGTGACCACAGGTGTGACGTTGGCCTGCAGCAGCTGGCGGGTAAAGCAGCGGTAGTAACCCAGCAGAGTGGTGTTGGGATGAGCCACGTCGCCGGTCGGCACCAGAGCTGACCAGTTGAGGGAGAAGTGGAAGTGGTTTACCCCCACCTGTCTTATTTCATCCACCTGAAGAGATGGACAAAGTATGTCAGTGTTTATAGCCTGATGATACAAACTCACATAAGACCAAAGTGAGTTCACCCCTGTGCAAAATCACATAAATGTCAAATTTACAGAACTGCATCACCTCTCAGTTACTGCCTTCTTACTTTAAAAAAAAAAAAATTCACTTTAGTTTTTTATTTTCTTTTTCACATATATAAATGAACATAGATCACCAAACAGCTCACAGTGATCAAGGGGAGCTTACAGTTTTCAGTGTACATCAGTTTTCATTTATAAGAGAGAAAAAAAAGTCACGTCATCGTTTGAATGCTGATGTCTTTGTTTTTAAATCCAATCCATTTGCTCCACTTTCTATTAAAAGCATCTGTTTTTATTCCTAAACAATAAGTTTTTTTTTCATTACATATATTTCCTGTACTATATCTAACCATTGTTTAGGTTTAGGTGGGTCTGAAGCAAGCCAGTTTCTTGTTATGGCCTTCCTGCCAGCCATGAGAAGAATTTTAACCAGAAATTATTGCTTTATTTCTAAGTTGACAAGTACAGTATTTTGTCTTATGAGCAATCAAAACTAAATATTTTTTTTAAAAAGACTATGTTCAAAATACAGGTTCAGTGGTATTCTCAGTGCAAAAAAAGTGAACACACCCGTGACACACAACTTACAAAACCCTGTGATCACTGAAACCAAATTGAGCACACTTGGGATTCCCAATTAGCCTAAACCCATGAATATGTTTATAAAACTACATAAACACTTGAACTTTCTCAGTTTTGGACCTATGGGCTTGTGTCTATCTGCATGTTTGCATCATGTCTCCACATGAAAACTGAATGAATCTGGTTGCGTGACTTCACAAAGATGGAAAAGGATATAGGAAGATCTATGAACAACTAAAAATCAGTCAAAAGCAGCAATCAGGAGGCATAGAATGAGTCATAGTACCACTAATCAGAGCTGCAGTGGTCGTCCTCCTAAAGTGACACCACAGACAATGTGTTACTTCCACAATCTATCTCTGAAAAACAGAAGGGCAAGTGCTTCAGACTTGGCACAGAGGTTATCAAAGGATACCAAAGTTTCTCTGACAGCTCAGACAGTGTGAAGGACATTTGCATGAATCAACATTAATCTTTCTGGGCGACAGCCAAGAAGAATACATTTGCTTGCTCTTTGGCACTAAAGTGAAATGAAACTTTCCTACAATGCATAAAAAGTAGCCTGATGAATATTGAAAACACATTCTTTGGTCAGATTATATCAATTTGTTCAGCTCAGATGGGGACCAGCATGTTTGGTCAGGACCAGCACACTGAATGCACAGTGACGGCAGTGGAGCATGGAGGTGGAAGTATGATTAGGTGGACAGTTTGTGGCATTGAGCTCCTACTGTGGGGCCTGTATGTTTAATGTAAAACTCTAAACTGTCGGTTTGTAATATAACAGGAGATCAAATATCTCACTGTTACACTGAGCAGTATTGCAGTTACTGTAAGGTGATATGATTGCGAATTATTTGACATTTCAGTGATATTGCACTGAGGTTGAGGTCTATAAAAACTCCTTTTGGTACAAAATTGTATCTTATTAGGATGAAACCATATTGCTGTTGCCACACCTTTTACTAGAACATTACAATAAACCTTCCTGCAGAATATTAAACTGTCGCTCACTAAAAAGCATTACTGACAGGTGCATCAGATCAATATATGTGGAAAAAGCTTGCATAGTGCTGATCACTTGTAGACTCACATTATCGTCATGTTTTGTTTTCCAAAGCTTTATTACCTTACAAATATGTACCTCAAATGTCAAAATTGTTGAGACTACGTTGTAATTATTGGGGAATGCCAAGAAAATCAATGTGCTGCAAACATTTTCATTGTAGTCTTTATTGGTTTAATTCCTTATCCAACACACACATGATCTGTCACTGACTCACACATGTGATCATCAGATGAGGGAGGATGAAATTGTTCTCAACTATCAGAAACTACTAGTGCCTGCTGTTCACACTGTGCCTGATCTGTTATCTGTGGAAAAGATAGTTTTCAGCACAACAACTTTGTTCTTGTCGTTCTCTGCTGTTTAAAAGATAGAGACGGAGGGACAGACCTGTTGTCGGATGGTGGCGTAATCAGCACAGTGTGCGTTTCGGCGTAAAGGGGGCGAACTGAAGCCCTCCAGCCTCATCAGCTCCCCGTTGTTGGTGTTCCACCGGTAAACGCTGGGGTCTGCAAACTGGCTGGGTGTGGACTCCACCTGTGACACGATTAGAAAAAAAAAAAGCACACCAGTGTAAACATGCGGACGATCAAACATTACATTCATTTATTACGCACAACTGCAAATAGAGGCCAAATGGGGCAAATCGATGGTAACAGTTGGCTCTGAGCTGCTTATCTAAGCAGGCGGACTGTGTGAGTTTATGTGGTTTATGATTAAGAGAGGATCCATCGTTGCGCCTGTTTCTGAGCTGGACTTTCACCATGAAAACTGCATTTTCAAAATAATGTGATGCGACAAATTGGAGAGGAAAAAAAAAATTAAATAGAAATAATAGGACTTAAACATGTCACACAGCTGTGAATAAGACGTGTGTGTTATGCTGGGGTTTCTTCATTCAGCAGCACACAAAGTTGATGTTCAAAAGTAGAATTAATGCGCAATACAGAGTGTCTTTTGCAGAGTCAACAAAACTTCACGCTTCACTAAATATTAGTTCCATCTATAGTATCCTGAATCTCTCAACCAAAGCTAATGCAGTCGAGTTAATGTTTTGTCAAATTGTTATTTCTTAGGAAGCAGTCTAGTCGTGTTTCATTCATTACCAGACATCAGACTCTCCGTATCTTTTCAACAATTGGACCTTTTGCAATAGAAAACACGCTCCTTCCTGCCATCCTCAACACACAGCACACAGGCGCACAAACAAACACACACCTGTATTGAGTTGGCCGACACACCCCATGCAAAATCACAGGGGAAGACTCCTTGTGCTGGTCTGTTCTCTGGAAGTTCTGGGAAACCGTTTCTCTGGATGACATTTCTGTAGAAATGATGACAAAAGGAGCACACTCAATTCAGGACGAGCTGTGCTGAGAACGAGAAAGCAGTTCTGTGGTCTTGAGGCAACGGTGAATGTTTCCAGAACTAAACTGTAACCAAATTTGTGGATATATTATGCAACGCTTTATCCACTTGGCTTTTATTTTGTTAGAAAAATTCTTTACTTTGCAAGAAGATAGAAAAAACGTCAAAATTGGCTTGCACTGTCAGTTGCTAGAAAATATTAAATATAGGATATCTGTATCGATGTACTATACATACTCTTAAATAATAATGAATTACAATTAAATTAGATCATGGACTTATTGGCCACAATTTTGTCACAGTCACAGTTAACATATTAATTTACACAGTCCCTAATGTAGAAAAAAATGCAACTTTGTTTCCAGTGTTTGTGTATTTGTGCACCTCCAGTGACTACAGATATTCTATCATAAATGTATCAGGAAGAATATTTATGCAAAACACCTGCTTCTGTACCAAAGCATGATACGATATGAAGGGAAACTTCACAGGTGAAATCTAGATCTGCTGCTCCTTTATTGCTAAGCATAAGATAATATAATTCTTAAAGGACACACTGACATACCTGTAACACCTGTAATGGCAAGAACAGTTTAATTATGCAGCACACTTCACTACAAGTAAACCCAATGTGCTTTCATTAAAAGACAAAATACAGAAATATAGGCATCAACAAGACACCATGAACAAAATCAGCCTGAGTAAAGGGTAAAATCTGAATCACTCAACTGCTCGTCACAGATACCACACAGTCAGAAACATCAACACAATCAAATACAAAGCCCTGTTCAAACCACACGTAGCAAAGAATACAAGAAACAAGTGCTACACACACACCTGTAAAAGGTGGCAGATGTCTTTGGCTCCCTCTTCATGTCAGGAGTGTTGAAGTCGACATAATAAAGTCCCCGTCGGATCCCATATTCTCTGTGCCACTCAAAGCCGTCTATCAGAGACCAAGCTGTGTATCCGATCACGTTCACGCCATCTATGATGATTGCTGAATCACAAACAAAGACAGATGTGAGGATGTCAGACAAGATGCTTTTTCCTCACGACATGGTGTGATATGGAGCACAGGTGGAGCTGTTGTGAATAAATGGAACTGGACTCACATTTCAGCGCCTCTGCGATGAACCTCTTGAGGTAGTACATGTGTTTTGGGTCTTCTGTCTTGGTGTTGCCGAGGACGTACCTGCAATGAAGACAACAAGGTGTTCAACACAACAAACACCAGAGCAACACATAGGGCAAGTCTGCATCACAGGGGTACAAACAGAATCAACATGTAAACCTACCAACCGCTCTGCACCACAAAGATGGGCGGCCTGTCGTACTCCGCGTTGACCCAGTAGAGCAGCATCCTCAGGTCCAGATCCTCCTGCTGCCCAAACTTCAGGCTGTCGTTGATGAGCTGGAAGCTGAGGGCTGCTCCGTGAGAGAGGGCGAAGAAGTCAGCGGTTCCCTTCACCTGCTCCTTCTCCTCCTGGGTGAAGGAGGGCAGCCGAGAGCCCAGCCTGGCCTTCATGCAGGGGGGGTAGTCTCCGTCTGTGAACAGCGGCCGGGCGAACCAACCCAGGACGTGGTCCAGGGAGCACTGGCACTCTCGCAGGCTCTCCAGCCGGGTGCGACTGGGCTTGATCCAGTGAGAGGCCAGAGCCATGGACAGTTGGCCGTGCTGTCGGGGACGGTAGTGGCGGTCGTAGTGATGCCATGTGGCCGCGTGAGCCTGGAGGAGAGAGATAAACAGTGAGAGGAAATCAGAATCCATCAGTCAGAGGTCATCGCAGGAGGGTAAGTGCAGTTCAAAAAGCTTAAGACGAGCAAAGCATTTGAAAGATACACAGGGAGACGTCTGTGCAGCAAAATAAAAATGCAGAAATTATAATTAGTAGAAGATTTCCAAAAGTGAAACAGCAAGTATATAGGCTTATACATATCAGCAGTGGTGCAAAGGCTATTCTCTCAAGTACATTTTCTCCTCTCAAATACTTGTACTTCACTTGAATAGCCAACATCCAGAGAGAAATATATACGTTTTTCCTCATTGATTTGACAGTTCCTAAATCAAATCATCAGCGAAAAGATGAATTGTGATGTGTTTTCTAGATTAAAACGACTCAACAGCTTATAAAGTTGCCATTGCTCCATTCACTGCAACAACAACAACAACAAAATGCTCCTTAGACTTCATTGGATCAGTTATAATAATCCAGAATATCTAATAATAGTAGAACACAGTCAAGGAAACATCTTGACATTTCTTTCACACATATAAGATGATAAAAACATTTCAAAGGGGACAAACAGTAAGATAGAAAAAAACTATAAAAAGATTTTTAAAAATCCAAACAGCTACTAGACATAAAACATCACAAACTTTACTTTCAAGTGTAACTTGGGTCAGGAATTGATCTTACTCAAATTATTTGAGCACTAAGATGAAGTTGTACCTCTGTGATGACAAAGAGAACATTTCATAAAAACACAGTTTTTAAGATGTTGTCAAACTCTGTTCCGGTTCTGACCTTGAGCAGATTGTGTCCAACCCGGAACGGAAGGTCAGGGTCGTTCTTTATCCCGGGAGCGACCACTCCGGTGCCGTATCCGTGGCGGGCCACAACAAACGGGTTGTCAATTGTGATCCAGTACTTCACATCATCTCCAAAAGTGTGGAAACAAAAATCTGCGTAGTCCTTGAAGATCCCCACCAGCTCCGGGTTGCTCCAGCCGCCGAGGCTCTGCTGCAGGTGGTCGGGCAGGTCCCAGTGGTACAGCGTCACCACCGGCTCCACTCGGTTCTCCTTCAGCCGCTTGATGAGCGTCCGGTAGTAGTTGGTGCCGATTTCGTTGTAGCTCCCGCGGGTGCCGTTGGGAAAAATCCGGGACCAAGACAGGGAGAACCTGTAGTGGCTGACCCCGAGCTTTCTGATGGCTCGGATGTCGGCGTGGATGTTGTGGTAGCTGTCGCTGCCCACGTCCCCGGTGGCCATCCGGTTCCCGCCGCGCGTAAAAGTGTCCCAAATGGAGAGGCCCTTGCCGTCCTTCTCAAACGCGCCCTCCACCTGGTAGGCAGCGGTGCCCACCGCCCACATGAAGTCCTCGGGGAAGGTATCGTAGAGGAAAGCCTTGTCCCCTGGATAGGGCAGCTTACTGAAGCGTCCCCACGTTTTTAAACCGGCGTTGGGTTTTGCGGCCGCAGAGGTGAAGGCGAGAAAAGTCAAAAGGGCGATGAGATTACTCATGATGTCTGTTCTAGAGGTCCAGTTTTTGGAACTGGTCTTTACTTGACCATGCTTTGAAGCTTTCAGGGTCTAAACAGAAGACTGTGGAGTGCAGCCAGCCAGCTGTGAACCCACCACACGCCGCCTCTCCAAATCTATCAATTATTAGCCAAAGCACCTGACGCACGAAGGTCTCCAGGCACAACATGATGTTAAGAGCCCCAAATGATCAATCGTTTGCATAGCAGGGGCTCATTATTTCTCTAAATAACTAAATGGACAAACAAGAGGGCCTCATATTGAATCAATCTGTTTAGTCTGTGTGTCCAGGTGAGGCCCCAGTTGTACGTTTTCTTTAAAACGAGGCCTTTTGCTTTGAGTGGCCCAGGTGCTTAAAGCCCAATATGATCTCAGTAACAGCACTATTATCATACATCCTCAGCTGGTAGATAATCTCATAACTCTGTTTAAATGTCACATGTCAAGAGCACCAAACCTCATCTACATTTCTCCCTGGATGAGTCAGAGGATGATGGGGAGAGGAAGGGGTGAGGAGAAGATATGCAAACAGCAGAGGCAGTGCACCCTGCTGCACCATGTTCACATTACTTCCTTATCGTCCTGCTTTCAGCTCCGTTGCCTGGAAACTCAGACTTCCTCCTGTTGGCCATCTTTGCCATCTGCATGAATTTCTGAAGAGGTGTGAGGCTGTTGGTTTGTGTGTGTTTGTGCCGCAAGAAGTTGCAGCTTCAGAGGACACCTTAGATCTAAAAGTTTTCTGGACAGAACTTATATTCACCTATAGCAATGAACACATGTAGTACAAGTTTAATACATGTTTTGATTATATTTCAGCAGTAAATAGTATTTTCAATATACAGTTAAAATGATGGACTGATTGAAACTAATCAACTGATTTCTGAAGCAAAAGCAACATTTATTTAATAATTGGTGTCTAGATTGTTGTTCAGGTGGCATTCAATTGCATTAAAAATCAAATGTAAATAAATCTGGAAAAAAAAAACATCACAAAAGCAAAGTTGTAACTTAAAAAAAAAATATGTTCAATAATAATAGGATAAAAAAAGGGATTTATGGGCAGTTTGATTGCTTGTTCCAACAGTCCTGCATAGTTTGGTTATTTAGTTATTGTTTTCACTGCTGATTTAAATAGAGTACAACTGTCATTTTACAATCAAGCACTGTAAAAGGATAAGTAACGTAAAACTATAGATGTTTGATGTAGACATCACCAGTTTTTACCTTTTTTTTAAAAGAGTAAATTCATGCTTTGTTGTTCTTTCATTTTACTTATGTCTAATTTATCAAAACAAGAAGATCTTTAAAATAATAGTTTAAAAATATTTAGTATTATACACATAATTTTATTTTAAAATAACGGCAAATATCTGCAAAGTAATAATTATTTTTATCTGCTTTAAATAGAGTTAAACTTAAATTTTATGGTCATTAAGTTTAAAAGAATGATTTAAAAAATACAGATTTTCATGATTTTCTTTGAAAATAGCAGCAAATATCTGTTATATAATGATATTTACAACTGTAAAAGAATTAATTAGCATTTGTAAAAAAACAAAAAAAAATTGGTGTTGACCTTATTTACAGTTTTGCCTCTCCCTTCTTTGTTGCTTTTTGTTTATGTAAAAAAAAAAAAAATCTGATTTCTGTGATCTTAATAGACGTTATCTGTAATTTGACAAAAGAGGATCATCTGTGAAATAACAGTAAATTGCTAAAACACATTTGAAAACAATCAAAACATGTTAATTGTTAGATTGTACAGCTCAACAAGTGGCAGACTGGAAACTGTCATCATTCACTGAATTTTCCCTAAAAAGGCAGGTAGTTTATTTGATGCAGGACTCAGCTGGTCACAGATCAGAACCGAGGGCACAACAAGCCGTGTGGGTGTTTTTTTCCGATGAGCTGCACTGGAAAGTTCAAAAACTCAAGTGTATGTGCATAAGCAATGTAGAGCACGGCTGCTCTCGCATACAACACAGGAAGAACACCATTGAGCGATGCTTAGCAGTCTGAGAGTGCAAACACTGGACGTGCTGTGTGTGTTCTAACTCAGTGCTCTACACACTGCAAACAATGAAATCAGCACTCATTGGAACACATCTGATAAACCTGTATGTGCCTCATGATGGGAACGTTTGTACAGCAACACTGAAGTTTTACAACCTTCATTATGGTAAAAAAGATAAAATGCAGGCGACTGTTAAGAACACTTCTGGTTTGTCCATTTTCAGCCACATCAAATATAAAGTGTGTGTTACGTAAACGAAAACCTTACATAAGCAGGAATGAAGTCCTTCTGGTTTTCCTCGTTTCTGACAACAGCATGACAATCATTGTCTGTAGGATTTAGCCTGCAGTTTTCATACCCTTCAGTATTCATACCCTCCTATTCATCATGACATTGCTTTTGAATTGTGGTTCAACAGAAATATATATAAAAAACAAGCATGTCGAGACCTGTAAACTAATGTTTTGTTGAACAACCCTTTGAGCCAATCACTGCAGTCAAGTGTTTTCTGTAACTCTCAATCAGACTTCTGCACCTGGTGACAGGTGTTTTGATTTTGGCCCACTGCTCATCAGCAAAGTGCTCTAATTAGTCCGGGACTGTTTTTTTCTTTTTCTTTTTCTAATTATTCTTTTCAAGCACAATTCAAAAGCAATGTTTTATTTCACTAAATTGTAATTTAGCAAATTTTTATTTATTATTACTTTTTTCAGTTTCTAGTTATTTTAATGGACTATTGTGAATTTTGCCTTTAATGGAAGGGTATGAATAAATTCGAGGATGATTTGAGGATGTGTCGCAATTTAAAGCAGCCATTTGACGGACACAAACACACACACAAAATTTTTAAAAAAACCCTGAAAAGTTCACTGAGATGAGAGCGCATCCTGTAAAGAATTAGAGTTCCATCAACAACAGATCAAAAGGATGGTGTCAGTTAACAAAAGCAGTTCTGCAAAACTTTGTTAACAAAGACTACAGCTGCTAATTAAGACTTTCTTATGCAAATTTCAAGTGGCAGCTTAAAAAAAGTTATTTTTAAACTGCAGTTTGTTTGTGTAGTCATGCAAAGAAAAGCACAGTTGCTTCCATGTCCATTACAGGCCAAGTGTGAAGGATTTAGGAGCCCTATTAGCAGTAATGGTGCAGTCACTTTGACCTGGCATCTTTCTGGGAGGAGTATGCATGTTCCTCCTGTGCCTGTGTGGGTTCTCACCGGCTTCCATGCTCAGGTAAGTTGTAAGTGTGAATGTGTGTGCTTGGTTCCCTACTGATAAAGCTGTATGTAGAAAATAAGAATTGTTGTGTTTGTGTTACCTTAAAACCTTCTTCCATGCCCCTTGGTGTGGAGCTCTCCTTTGTAGAGTTTGATCAGCATGGTCACCTGCACACTATTGGCTCCCATCCTGGTGTGGTCTGCCTCAGCTGCTGCTCAGCAAATCGAGGATCCTGATTGGAGCAGCACTAATAATCAAGTGCCACTTGATTAAACTTGGAAAAACTAGTGAGCATCAATTTTCTGCCTTCCTAATGTCCTCATCTGGTAGCAGTTTTCTCCATGTTCCCAAAACTTATCACAACAAACCTCCATTGTTGTATCAGTACTTGTTTTAACCACCATTTGTTCTGCTGAGCAGTCAGTACAGAAAGTCTGAACATTCACAAATTTCTGGCTGCATGCAGATGAGGATGGGAAGTTTTCCTCATGGGTTCCTTTGCGGGAACAAGAAAATCATGAACTGACTTTCAACAGTTCTTCTCATAGATAGCTCTCAAATGAAGTTGAGGGGTATTTAGTTAGTGGCATCCTCGTCGCTAGATGCTACTAAATCCTAGACACTGGA